AAAAAAAAAAAAAAACGAATCATACTGTCGCAGAGTCCCAGATGTGAAAATCTCGGTAATGAAGTTGATATGCTCGTTTTTGGTATCAACCCACGAGTTGTAGAATTTGATAATATTTTTGTGCTTGAGGGTCTTAAGCAGGTGAACTTCCGAATACAAACGCTCCAAATCAACGGAATTCCTCAAGAGATCAGCCACCTTAACCTGATTCCAGGCCACCTCTATTCCTTCCCATTCATCAAAAGCTCTGTATCTATACCCCACCAACAAATTCAAGGATTCACAAGAAAAACGCCATAATTTTATCAAATATTATTTAATTATTTCTTCAAAGCTGCTCACTTCACAGTTCACATTATAATGAGATCACACATGCCAGAAAGGATACACTTTCTTGCAAGCTCCCTTTCCTAGTACCTCTTTATACTGCAAAAACGCAACACAACCATATTGAAGTACCGCAAAACAAAACATTAAACTGAAAAACAAACCTCAAAAACCATCCAGGATCAACAAATGCAAAATCGGATTAAAAAGGATAGCGTTTGATTAAAAAATTGCACGCACCCGACCGTAGCGACCGGAGGGATCGACCTCGACAAATTCTGGTTCGGTGTCGGAATCGTCCGGGTCGGGCTCCGACGCCAACTCTGGAAGCATTCTCCGATTTGATTCAATAACAACAAATAAAAAAAAACGACGTTACCTACTTGGATTCAGATCTCAGTACCAACAAATTTCGAGTCTTTATGGGCAAAATCAGTCGTCAGTTCGGGCTGGAACACCGAGAGCTTTTGCGGCTTGGAAAATTTGGGATCAGTATAAATTCAATAGTGGAGCTTATCAAATCAAACATCAACAATCCGGATTTGAATTATGCTGCTGAAAACCTGGTTTGTGTAGGAAGAGTTTCACGTCGGTTTACGAATGTGCATAATAAGAATATAATAACAATACTATGAATTAAGGATGCAATTAACTACATGAACTAACTAATATAATTAATAAGGATGCGATTCACACTTTTTAGTAGTTTTTATTATTATTTATTTTTATTTTATTTACTATATATATATATTTTTTATTTATTAAGCTCGTTAAATAGTTTAAGGGAATGTTAGATAATTTTTAAATTTAATATATATTTTATTAGTTTTGTATTTATTTGTATGATATTTTTAATAAGAGATATAAAAATATTTTATTTCGTCAAATAATTTTAAGACTCAATTAATAAAAAAGAGAATCAATCAAACTATGACAAACAATTAAAAAAAAAACAAATTGAAACATGATTATTTGTTCGAAAAATAAACAAAATAATGTAGGAACATGATCATCGAAACGTTGAGTTCGACTCTTTCGATTGGATTACAACATTAGGTCCGTTAGACCATGGCGTTCTGGACTGGGATTTTGTAGGCTGGCTACTCTGGTTCGTGGACTGGCTCACGCTAACCATTAAGAAACAAATTGAAGTACTCACAACATGCTTTTCAGCTTTTGCAGCTTGATCACTAGACTCTGTCTTGTCTTTCGATTGCCAGTTTCTTGTGTACTGAAAATAATCATATACACATCTGTTTACCTGAATCCAACCTACATGTGATGGGCCATGAGCTTCAATAGTACAAAACAAATTTAGGCCCAAAAAAGAGCCAAAAAATCACTAAAATCAAGTTTTTTCTTATTTTTAATGACCAATAGGAAATTGCATGAGCAAAAATGACGAAAGCTCTTTCTTTATGAAACTGATTAATAATACTCTTTTTTTTTTTGGGTAGCCAGCCACGGTATCTAGAGCTATGCTCCGACTAATTCGTTGGTCGACTCGGGTCGCACACATAGCAGTGGTGGGTGAGTCTTCCAACAAGGATTTTCTGCATCTAAGAACTCAAACTCGATACCTTACCTAAGGGACATCAACCTTGCATCCACAAGGACTCTTTGGATGAATGCAAATGTTGCATGAAGGATATAAATTTTATGTCGCCAAGTTGCATAGTACTAGTAATATTGACAGCAACTACTCCTTTTGAAATAGTCAAGTTGCTAGTAATTATATATATCAATTTGAATTAGGTGACATGTGAAACCAAAAAATTGTCAGGCAAAAAAGTCAGCCTATTCAAAATTTCCAATGATACTGTCCCTCCATTACCATTTTAAATATATTTTGAGGTTTTGGGTAAATGATTTACATATAAATATATTTTTTTTCCATATTCTAAATTACTCTATTTTCATACATTTTTTTTTTAATATATGATATCAGGTTATGAAAACTATGCATTCATAAAACTATGGCCCCGTTTGGAAGATAGCGGATTGAGGATAAATTAGCGGATTGGACTTAATTGAGAGGTTTGACCCGTCAAATCCGCTATTGAGCTTGTTTGGTAAATAGCTTATTTGATAAGCTTTTTAGGCCCAAAACTCTAATTTAGAAAAAGCTCATTAGAAGAACTTTTTGGGGATAGAGGATTCACAATCTACAAATTTAATTTAGAACTTTTTAATTTGTATTATTTATTTTATAATCTACATTGGTTTATGATGCTAACAAATAATAATATGTCATCTATATGATTAATTTATCTAGAAAAATGTAAAATTCATAACTTCTTGATCAATTGTTAGTAATTTTTTTTTTAAAAAAATAGATATTTATAAATTACCAATTAAAAAATATTAAATGTTTTAATATATTATTATTAAAAGAATACACCCTAAATAATAAAATGTCTTTATTGGTAATTTGCAATGTCAAACAGCTATAAGCTTTCAGCTATTTACCAAACACTTATTTAAAAACCGCTAATGCAATCCGCTAGTCCAATCAGCTAATACAATCCGCTATCCACTATCCGCTAATACAATCCGCTATCCGCTATCCGCTGATCGCCAAACAAGACCATGTCCCAATGAGCGAGGTTTACCAATCTAGTCAACCTCTCGCTCTCAACAAGATACATAGAAGATATGGCCAAAATCGGTTTGGCGGTTTCAAGTAACCACGGGTGTCGGGCTGTGTTATGGGTCATGAACTGACCTGGTAACATTTACGAGTCTGCTCAATGAACTAGCGGTTTCAGGTCGGTTCATGAACAGTCAGCTATGTTGGTTCGGTTTAATAATAATAATATTAATAATAATAGTAAAAAGTTCAAAACAGAAAAAGGAAAAACTTAAATTGCCGGTTTCGTTTCAAAACTAAAACTGAATGTTCAAAATTTGTAAATGCTTGAAGTGGAACTGATCCAAGTAAAGCACAGACCGATTCAAGACCCGTAGTCAATTGCTCAGTTTCGAGTTGAACCGGCGAGCCACTTCGTCTCTGTGGTCATGTCTAATCTATAGATTCACAAGATATTTTTAATGATACTTGCTTTATTTCAACTCTTGGAGGTACCAATAACACTTTTGAGTTTTGACTAATAATAAAGAGTAATGTTATTTAGCTCACGTAATTGATAACTTGGATTACAACCAAAATGTAAATGCATTCTCAAAAAAATAAAAAATAATACATTTACACTTATGTTGTCGGGGTCCAAGTGGATACTATAACATTGCTCAATAATAAAATACACACAAAAGCATTACACTCTTCCCAATCAACATATATGATATACCAAAGAAAATCCCAATTGGTTGAGTGATTTTTAAATACACCAACTTGCACATTTTCAATACTATCACCCATGTGGGATGCAACCATGCCCAAAAATCATGGTATTCAATTCAATTCAAGATCCAATCTTTAAACCTTCAGACCAGACCCTCATAAAAAACAGATCATCATCATCAAACACTCTCTTGTCTGAAAAACCAAACCTCAAAACATGGCAGCTTATGCTGCCTTAGTCTCCCTGGTACAGCTCCTTCACCCACACCACTTCCCTTCCCATCTCCAAACCCCCCAACTCGACTCCCTCTTCTCGAAAGCCCGTTCGCTGCAGTCCTCGCTCGAAAAAATCTCCCACGTACCCAAAAACCTCCGACCCACCGTAGCCCAACTCGACTCAGATATCCGTGACCAAATCTACCGTGCTCAAGACCTCGTCGAGTCCTTCCTCCTCGACCAATCCTCAACTCCTTATTTCCTCCGAGACTTGGCCGACATAATCGAAACAATCGATCCTCTCGAGCGGGATGCCTCGACCATCGCAAGTTCCCTCGAGGAGGATTCCTCAGAGACAAGCGGCGGCCTATCCTCGGAGGAGGTCTTTCCGCTTCCTGACTCTTCCTCCGGCGCCACCACCACCACCACCAAGATCGTCGGCCAAGAGGCCGACTTCAAGGCCATCACTACCAAACTAATGGATGAAAGCAACTCGAAGCTTCAAATCGTGTCGATCGTTGGCTTACCTGGCATCGGCAAGACCACGCTTGCTAAAAGCATTTACGAAGACCCGAGCGTGCAGAGCTGCTTCCCCACTCGCGCGTGGGTCACGGTCTCCCAAGACTCACACGTCAACGATATATTCGCCAAGCTTTTAGCCTCCATGGAGACCGCAGGCCACAAGGCAGGGGACCGAGCGGTTCAGGGCAATGTTAACGACTTATCCCAACAGCTTCACTTGAGCTTGTTCTCTGGGAAGTACTTAGTCGTGGTGGACGATATGTGGGACGAGGGGGTCTGGGACAGGGTTCGGCAGTACTTGCCCGACGAGAGGAACGGGAGTAGAATCATACTCACGACCCGTCTCAAAAACATAGCCGAGTACGCGAACAAAACGGGCTTTCGCCACGAAATGCAGCCTCTGAGCAATGAGAACAGCTGGGTTCTTTTGTCGTTAAAAGCGTTCGGGGGTGGACCGGCCCTCGAGCACTTGGAGAGTCGAGGCCGGGCGATTGCCAAGAACTGCGGCGGGCTTCCGTTGCTGCTGATCGTGATCGGAGGTCTTCTTTTCCAGGAGAAGAAAACCGAGGAGTATTGGGAGAGTATAAAGGAAGACACGTACGCGGCTGCTTCGAAAGGCGATCAGAAGACTTCCTACTCGGAAATCTTGCTGTTGAGCTATAATCACTTGCCTCGGAGGCTTAAAGGATGTTTTCTCTACATGGGGGCTTTTCCGGAAGACAGCGAGATTCTAGTCTCGAAAATCGTGAGGCTTTGGGTCGCGGAGGATTTTTTAAGGCCGAGTGAAAAAGAGAGTACCGAGCAAGCCGCGAAGCGATGCGTGGTGGATCTTATCAAGAGGAATCTGTTCTCGACTCGGAAGGAGACTTCCAACGGACACACGAAGGCTCTCGGAATGCACGATAGCCTTCGTGACGTGTCGTTGAAGCAGTGCCGTCTGGAGAAGTTCTTCCACACGATGAATAGGTTCGTCGAGAAGGATGAGCTTCCGGAAGGTACCGGACAGCAGAGGCGCCTGTCAGTGCACAGGAATATCTTCGTGTGCATGAAGGAAGGTTACGACTCGGCTAAATCGGTTTTGTCGACTCGCACGCTGATTTTTCCTGGCCCGTATCATCATCACCCGTTGCCTTATACTCTGACATTTGACCTTCTGAGGGTGTTAGATGCTCTTACGGTGTACTTCATCGAGTTCCCGTCAGAGATTCTTGAATTGATTCACTTGAGGTTACTCTCTCTTACATACAACGGCAAACTTCCATCGCAGCTGTCCAGACTGCAAAAGCTTCAGACACTTATCGTCCACCGACATCCAAAGATCATTTTTATCGGCTCGTCATATCTGCCGGCCGAAGTATGGGACATGCCGCAGCTAAGGCATCTTTTGTTCATGGAAAGCGATTTTCCGCATCCGTCTGAATGCACAACTGTTTCTAATAAAAATTCTGTTCTCTTCCGAAACCTCCAGTCGCTTTCGGATGTAAACGCAGCTTCTTGTACCCGAGAGGTACTTAATAACATGCCCAATTTGAAAAAGCTAGGAATGTGGGCCGAAAAGCCGGGAGATGTAAACTTTTACCTCGATGAGCTGCAGCATCTCGAAACATTGAGGTTCACTGTCCTAAATCCTATTCCTAACAAAAGCGTTAACTTTCTCCCTCAATTTTCTTTGCCTGAGACGCTGAAAAGGCTCACTCTAAGCGGGTGCGGGATACCTTGGGAGGAAATGAGTGTGATTGGACAGTTGCCGATACTTGAAGTGCTTAAACTGAGGGAACTCGCTTTCCAAGGGAAAGGATGGGCTCCGGAGGAAGGAGAGTTTTTGGCGTTGAAATTTTTGCTGCTCGAGTATGTGGATTTGAAGTATTGGATTGCTGAGCACTCGCATTTCCCTTGCCTGGAAAGCTTGATTATGAGGCACTGCTATAAACTCAAGGAAATCGATTTTCCGGATATTAGGAGCATCGGAGGGCTTAAGCTGATCGAGCTTGTCGACTGTAGTCCACTGGCTGTGGAGTGGGCGGAGAGTCTCGAGAAAGATAACAAAGATAAGAAGCTTAAGATACGAACTTATTCTTCGTGGAAATAGAGTTTTTTTTCGCGTGGATATGCAGTTTTTCGGTTTTGGTAAGTCCTTCTTTACTGCTTCACAAAATAAATGGTGCATGCATGAAACTATCTAATCAAGAGTGGTACTGCTGAAGAAAAAGCATCTAAACTTTAATGGACCGAATATTGGAATGAAGAATACTACTGTCTGTAGGATGAAGAAATATTGTTGACTAGTTGATTTTCTGTGCAGAGTGAAGAGCAGTGAAGTGCCATATTTATGTATCTTCTGTGTCAAGCTTTGTTTAGAGTTGGATTTGAACAAGTTGTTATTGCATTTGGTTATTGTCTTTTCATTTTGCTTGTTGGGTATTGAGATTGTAAAATATTTGAACTGAATGAATGAATGAATGAATGAATGGTGGTTACTTTTGTTTCGTCTTGAATTTTGTCGAGTGAGATTTTTAATTTTATCCTCGTATTTTCTTGGGGATCTTGAAAAGACTTCTCTAATTGTCTCACTTCTTAGCAAACCTGAACTTATGATTAAAATATACGGAAGATGTTACGTTTCCGTTACGGAATCATTCCGTCGATGTTTGTAACTGTTAGATCAACTATTTCTGACGGTTATGTGATGATCTAACGGTTACGAACCTCGACGGAATTGTTCCGTAACGGGACCTTACAATTTCCCTAAAATATACTCTTATACAAAATCAATTGTTTCTTACAGATAGAGAAATTTACCACCTTCTCCAATACCAAATTGCTTCCTACCAAATCTCCAACAAATTGTGAACCAATCAATCACATGATATCATCATGTGCAAAAGCATCCTACAACAAACCCATACAGAAGCTTTGTGTGATGTGAAGCACTTCTCCTAATTAACTAAGAATCAGGCAAAGATCCTCCGTGCAAAAAACCAATCTCATGCCTGCAAATTTCATGACCTCAAATGAAGATTCATCCCCACTATATATAATGTAAACCTTGTCACCATCAAATTCAACTTTGATCCCATGGAAAATCACTTGACAAGTTCCCGCTACAAATTACTAGCCATCACTTTGTGTCTAATCTTGCTCCGTGCGCACGTTAGCACCTCATCGGCCGTCGTGGACCGAGGACGAGGCAAATGGCGGCTCCTCCTCCACAACACCGGCGTGGTGGCAATGCACATGACCCTCACTCACCACAACACAGTCATCATATTGGACCACACCGGCTCCGGCCCGTCTGCCTACCAACTACGAGGCCGGTCCAACGGGCCCCTTTGCCAGGTCACTCAGACGGCCGACCCATCTTGCTACGCTCACTCGGTCGAGTACAACGTGGCGCAAAACAAAATCCGGCCACTCGACATCCGGACCGACACATGGAGCTCGTCCGGGTCCATGATGAGCAACGGGACCCTCGTCCAAACGGGCGGGTTTGGATCTGGTTCACGAAAGATACGGTATTTCGAGCCGTGCGGAGATGGAAAATGCGATTGGAGGGAACCGACAAGGTCGTTCTTGGCGGACGAGAGATGGTACTCGTCCAGTTTAAGACTCCCAGAAAAAGACGATCAGGTGATCGTCTTAGGCGGGAGGAACGCCTTTTCGTACGAATTCGTCCCTAAGTCGACGTCTCGTGAGGAGAAATTTTTTGAACTACCTTTCTTGCGAAAAACTTGGGAAAAAAAAGAGGGAGGTAACAACTTGTACCCGTTTCTCCACCTCTCGTCCGACGGGCATTTGTTCGTTTTCGCCAACCGGGACTCTATACTTTTTAATTATAAGAGAAACACAATTGTTAAGCATTTTCCGAGGATTCCGGGGAAGGGTTCGAGGAGCCACCCGAGCGGTGGCTCGTCGGTGATTCTCCCATTGGGTCACGAGGATGGGTTTCGGAAAGTGGAGGTTATGATCTGTGGAGGGGCTGCTGACAGGGCATTCGAGGCAGCTAGTCGGGATCGGTTCTTGAAGGGATCGAGCTCGTGTGGGAGGATGGTCATCACAGGACATCATCACAACTGGAAAATGGAGAACATGCCAGGTAAATGTAATAATGTTTAAAGGTTGTGCCCTTTTTTCGTTCTTTAGTTAGCACTGGTCAATGTTTGCATTCTCTAACATGAGTTCTACAGAGCCCCGCCTAATGAACGATATGATCATTTTACCGACCGGACATTTACTCATTATAAACGGTGCCAAGAACGGCTCGGCCGGGTTGAATTCTGCTTCAGACCCGTCTACTCAGCCGTATCTCTACAAGCCGAAAAAATCGCGCGGGAAAAGATTTTCTGTACTCAAAGGAACTAAAATCGCGCGAATGTACCATTCATCGGCTGTGTTATTGCCAGATGGAAGGGTTCTTGTGGCCGGCAGCAACCCAAACGAAAGGTACATTTACAGAAATGTCCCTCACCCGACCGAGCTACGATTACAAGCCTTTACGCCGACTCACATGGAGAAAAAGTTCGACAACAAAAGGCCACACAACGTGTCTGTATACTACACGAATGGGACCACGAACCGAAGTGCGGCTTATGGGGAAGAATTCGAAGTGGAGTTTGGGGTGAGGAGAAGTAAGGAGAAAATGAGAGTGAAGGATTTGGTTTTCACAGCTTATGCACCTCCATTCAACACTCATTCACTTTCAATGAATCAGAGGATGCTGAGATTGAAGTGCAACAGTGTGGAGAGGAGTAGTAAGAATGGTGGGTGGAGGGCAGTTTTGGAAGTCCCAAAGTCTCCAAATGTGGCTCCTGCAGGTTATTACATGCTGAGTGTTGTTAGAAATGGGATACCTAGTGAAGCCCAATGGGTCAGGTTTATGCATGCTTGAGATGAGAATGAGATACACAACATAATAATAAACAAGCAAATATGTACACTCAATCAATTGGTTTGGTGTGTGTGTTCTAATATACAATATAATGTCATCAAATGATTATTAATTCTGTTTAACCAACTTAATTTGCTGCTTTCTTTGATCCCTTTTGTGGACATTAGCAGATTTATTACAGACTAAAAGACTTCTTTGCTAGAGTGTATAAAATGAAAAAAACTAATAATAACAAATCATCAAGATTTGAATTTTACTGTTTAAGAATATTTTGACTCGAGAATTTTTTAAACTTGGAAATATGTAACTATATTAAGACTTTCCAAAGCTGTAAATATATTAAGACTACTTTTTTTTTTTTTTTAACAAAAATAATCACAATATGTTTTTCAAATCCGCATGCAAGAGCATCTTCCATAAATTGCTCTATTTTATTATCATGCCGACTAAAAACTCTCATATGGCACCAAGAATGTCTAAAGTAGATGAAGAATTTTTAGAAATCTTCATTAAAAATTTATTATCATTTCTTTACTTTCTGTCTTTTCCAACCATGAAAAAATATATATTTATTTATATTATGAAAATCATATTTTAATTTATATCCTATTTATATGATGTTTTAGTATGAAGATGAAATCATGGAACTTGAACAATTTAGAAAACAATATATTTCAATTCTTACTTCATTTAATTGGTTATGATTATGACGTCATTATTAATGGTTAATTCAATAAAATGAAATATAAATAAATTTAAATATAATTTTGGAATAGGGGTTTATGATTCTAAAATGTCTTTTATTTTTATTAAAAAAAAAATCGTTTACATTCTGGGACCATCTCCAGTGCTGCTTTATTCTGAAGCAATACGCTGGAGTTGTGTCAAAATATGCCTCCAATGCTGCGCTGAAATTCTGCACTAGATAAGATATATGAACAGTGCTGCGCCAGTTGTGGCGCAGCACTGTAGCGCAGCGCCACATTTTTTCTTTTTTTTTTGTGTATTTTTAGTGTAATATTATGATATTTTTGTATATAATGTGTATTAATAAATGTATTTTTATGCTAAATAACTTTGTGCAATGTATTTTTATGTTAAAAATTTTGTGCTTTTTATTTATTGATGTATTATAATTTTATCTACATCTCAACCGTATGATTCCTATCTAAATTATATGATTTAGTGCATATTTACAGGCTTGACCATATATGCACTAAACTATATATGGTCTAGACTGTAAATATGCCCTAAACCATATATGGTTTAGTGTATATATGGACTTTTCTTAGATCATCTCCAGACTAAGAAAATCTAGACTGTAAATATATGTCCTAAATCATATATGGTCTGTATTTTTATTATTTGAGTAATTAACATTTTATATATAATTAAATATACATATATACCAATTTATTTGAAATAAAAAATGAATAAAAAAATAATATATTTAATTTAATATGGAGTAAAATGTAGAGATAAGGACTGTAGATGAATATTCAACTCTACTCTAAAGTAGAGTAAAGTCCGCGCTAGAGTAGAGATGGGTTAGAGATTGGGTGAAAGAAGAAAAGAAAAGAAGACGTGCATACGAGATATGTCTTTGTCAAACGAAATCAAGTGAAGGAGATTTTGTCCCAAGGGTCCGAATCAGCTGCCATCTCCGTCTGCTGTCTCTCTCTGCCTTAGTCCGAATAAAAACTACTGAAATTCAACAATTATTTTGAGTCTGAGTTCCTCTGAAAGATTTTTTACGCATCGAGTTGCGATATGATATCCCTGAGAATATCATCATCTTCTGCACCAATTCCAACATATAAATCCTCACCTCACCAAAACTCCACATTTTGTGTGCCTCTTTGGCGGGCTCACATGGCAGATCGCCCTTCTTACAAGAAATTATCTGCCGCCATTAAAGCTCAACAGGTTAAATCTCGCCTCTCTCTCTCTCTCTCTCTCTCTCTCTCTCTCTGTGATTGTGTGTGGTGGGCCTTTTCAGATTGGTGAAAGTTGCAGTCTTTCTTACATTTTCATCACATTTCACTAGTCATTGCGTGGTTTGGGTTCCAATTAAAAATTCGTACTGTGATTATTAGCAGCTGATGCCATTTCATCGAATGCTCAGTTTTGTCAGGAACCGGATAAAAAAAGTTTTGCAATTTCGAATTGGGGGGCATGTGGTGAAGGCATATATTTTGAAGAAAAACTGGAAAATACCGCTGAACCTTTTTTAGTGTGGGTATATGGTGGGATGATGAGCTCACTGTGTTTATTGGATACCAAAATATTAAATCAGCAGTAATTATTTTATCTTGGTCACGAAAGTATAAGAGTGGTAGATATGTGTTCATTAAAGTACTGAGCATGGGATCTCATAGTGAGTTTCTTTAGGCAACCTGATTTCTTATTATTTTGCTATTAGGTTGAATTGAAAGGTGAGTCAGCTACATTTTCGGAGGCTAGAATTTCCGATAGAGATGCTCTCACAATAAAAGAATGGGAAGTTGCAATGTATCAAGAGGAGATTGCAGTGAGTCAAGGTATTAAGATCAGGAGGCGGCCACCAGCTGGACTGCCTCTTGGCTATGTGGGCCCTTTGGAACTTTGTATGAAGAATCAGGGCAGTAGCAGCCCCCACAATATTCTTGAAGAAATTGTATGGTACAAGGATTTGGAAGTCACTCAGGTACTCTTGTTAATGTGCGTATTTTTGGCATATTCTGAATACGCGAACTGTAATACGGTTGGCCATTGGGTTTTGATCGGTAGATGAAAGAGGGAAAACCACTTTCGATGCTGAAAACGATGCTTGATAGTGCTCCACCTGTTAGAGATTTTGTTGGAGCTCTTAAGAGGGCAAATTCACGGACTGGTTTTCCTGGATTGATTGCTGAGGTGAAAAAGGCCTCCCCAAGTAGAGGGGTTCTGAGAGAAGATTTTGATCCTGTAAGTTTCTTCCCATCTCTATTTCACGTTTTCAACATGAATAAAAGAAAAAAAAAAAAAAAATTGTATGGCTGAAAGACACTGTGGGTTGCAACTTAAAGAGTTAGCACTAAAGAAAACATGTATATGTGTGTGTGTGTGTGTGTGTGTGCGCGTGTGAGGAAAAGGGTTGTAGAGTATCTTAAGTAGAATTCGTTGAAATAATATGGGCTCAATGAAAACTAAATATGCCGTTTTGTGCATGTAATAAGCACTATGCATGAGTTCTCTAACAAAGCTTCTCATGGAAAAGCTATGCAGATCACCCTTAGTTAGAGGATCTAAAACAAGACAGAAGATTTATTTTATATAATAGACTTTGTTAGCATTTACATTATTTTTCTTTCTGAGATCTGGTGAATTTGCTTGATGAATATATGTTGTCCAATTTTACATGAATTCGACTTTTTGTTTGAATGTTTTACATAGCTGTGACCCATTTATGGTTGTCATTACAGGTTCAGATTGCTAAAGCTTATGAAAAAGGTGGAGCAGCTTGCCTCAGTGTTTTGACTGACAAGAAGTATTTTCAGGTAAGAGACGACTCTTTCTTTTATTGGCTTTGGCTTGCAATAAATCTCCTTAATTCGCAGCACACTTATCCAGAATGTACATCATTTTTTCTTCCTTTTTTTGGATAATTTAGGGGGGCTTTGAAAATTTGGAGGCAATAAGGAGTTCTGGAGTAGAGGTATTCTCTCATCAATAACATTTCAAGATTAACTATATGTATGTAGCTTAATACTTAACTGTGTTACTTTTCCATTTAACTTTGAGTACAGTGCCCTCTCTTGTGTAAAGAATTTGTAATAGATGCTTGGCAAATCTACTATGCTCGAGTGAAAGGTGCAGATGCGGTTCTCTTAATTGCTGCTGTATTAGCCGATCTTGAGATCGAGTACATGATTAAGATATGCAAATCGCTAGGGTTAGCATCACTGGTTGAGGTTGTCATTATTTCTTAACCATCAATTGCTTGCAATATACTCTTGGAGATTCTTTGGATGCATGAACTCAGTATTTATACTTTCACGAGATAGTGTTTCAGTCAATAAAACCAGTCCCTACCATTGATTGACCTCTTCTCTTTTTGTGCTTTTCTGTTTGCTAGGTGCATGATGAGAGAGAAATGGATCGTGTTTTAGAAATTGAGGGGATTGAACTTGTTGGCATCAATAACCGTGACCTTGGTATTTTTCCCTGGCTTTGAGGAATATGTTATATGTATTTTCTCTGATTATTTTTTATGCATGAAAAGTCAGAACTCTGTCTCAGATTCTCAATGCTGATGTGCAATTATGAAGGATGTAAATTTACATTTTATTCGAGTCATATGGTAAAAATCAAGTCCCAAAGCAGCATTGAAGTGCTAATGTACACATTAACTCATCAAAAGTTTTATCTTTAAGATGGAAAACGAAAAATAAAAGAAAAATAAGAGTGGGAATAATTTTCCTAATCTGTGTCGTTGAAACTGTTAGAATATTAAATTCCCCCGTATATGATTCTAAACATTGAACACAACCCGTGGTCCTGGTCATATAGCATCTCGAAAGACCAGAATTAGCTACAGTTGAAGTCTTACCTCTTCTGATTACGATAGTTGACTTGCTAAGACAGTTCAAGTTCAATCCTTGTGTATAGGGACATTTAAGGTAGATATTAGCAACACCAAAAAGCTTCTTCAAGGTGAGCGTGGAGAAAGGATACGTGAGAAGGGTGTTATCGTAAGTACCTTTACAAGTAGTTAATTGTTCCACTTTCTCGAATTCAGTCTTCATTTTTAATTTTCTTTTTTGTTGTTTTTGACGTTTTGTTGAAAATTTCAGGTGGTCGGAGAGTCTGGACTTTTTACTCCAGCTGATATTGCATATGTACAAGAAGCTGGTGTTAAAGCGGTAAGCTATTATGTGACTTTGGAAAAAACTGCGGCAACTGATGACTTCGTTAGGGAAAGCACAAAATCTCAATTGCTCATTACTCGGGAAAATTCAGTTGCACGTGTTGCATTTATTCATTTCCTTACTCATTCTCAACAGGTACTGGTAGGCGAATCGATTGTTAAACAGAAGGACCCTGCTACAGGAATAAATAAACTGTTCGGCAAAGATATATCTTTGTGATTTCTAAGATGTTCAACATTTGTGGCTCTTTGACTATGAAGCTAAAGGTTTACTTTAGTTGGATCAAAATTTGTAACGTTAAATTATCACATGTTCGATATGTATAATTTGCTTTTAGGAGTTTGTTTTGAACTTCAATGAGGAATTGTTGTATTTTTAAGTAAGGATTGTTTTACAATTTACAATTGACAAACACGACAAGAGTTGGTATTTTGGCTTCTATTTGGGAATGAATATGTCATGTCAGCCAATCAAGAGCATGTGAAGGGATTCTTTCAGTGTGATGTATCTTTTGAATTAGAAATTGAGGGGGCAATTATAGCTCTGTTTTACCCTGTGGACGCTTGAGATATGATGTCCAAATCAACAGGGCAGAACATTAATTGTTGAATTTCATTTTAAAAAGATTGTGATAAAACTCAGTTAGAGCTCGTTCATATTCATTCGTTTAGTGAAACAGACTTTAACTTACGATCTGTCATTTTGTGATGAAGTTACTACAGAACAAGAAGCTCAAAACTGCAAGGCATTAACTTGCGAAGATGCCAATGATCTCCTAACATGATCGATCATTTCATTTTATCTCGAGCAATTGTGATTGATTTACGGACGAAAAAAATACTCAGGAAAAGTTCTGCTGCAAATGTCAATTCCATATTTGCTTACAACTGCTAGATTCAAATCAAACTTGACATCTGTTGATTGGATCTCCACAATTTATTCTTAATTCTAAGTATCCAATGTATTGGGATCTCTCAAGCAATCATGCTTGAGAAAATAATGGAAGTGATGACTCATTTCCAAGTCACAATTCTTTGGATTGTTGTAAAGTGTACTAATCACCACTGGTCCAAAAAATCTTGCATTACAATCCAAAACTTGCCCTATATGGCCTTTTGCTCTATCCTAATAAAGAGTGTGTTGGATTTTTCTGTCCTGATTTGGCTATAAAAGACCAATTTTGAAATATGAGTTGTCAGTTGTCACCCTTGATTTCACTTACTTTTCTTATTTATTTATTTATTTATTTTTTCCCTCTCTCATAGTTCTATATTTTGAAGCCAAAACCAAAGGCAGATTGTTGGGTAAATATCTGTTTTTCTTTCTTTTTTTATACTGATATGATTAACTACATTTTCTTGATGTTATTGTGAAGGCTTCAAGCTAATAAGATAGTTTTATTCAAATTTGTGCAGCTTCTTTGGATAGTTCAACAGATTATAGCAAAAGATGACAATCACAGCAACTCCAGTTATCAAGAATGGCTGCCTCACGATACACGGCAAGGTTATCTTAACCGGAGTCCCGGAAAATATCGTCATAACTCCATCAGCCAAAGGATCTGCTTTTATTGGAGCAAACTCGACAAGATTAAGTTCTCATCATGTTTTCAGTCTTGGAGTTCTTGAGTAAGTATATACTTTGTCAAGCTATTTTGTTTTTAGAAAATGAAAGTGACTGTACATGTTTTCCAAATTATTAGACTTCTGAACTCCATACAACTTAGTTTTTTTTTTTTTTCCTTATTTGAAACAGAAATTGCAAGTTCATGTGCCTTTTCATCGCAAAAATATGGTGGATGATACCGCGTGTTGGTAAATCGGCGAGTGAGATTCCAATGGAAACTCAGATGCTTTTGCTTGAAGCTCGACAAGAATCATCCATGCTCGGTATCGAAGATGAAGTAAACACGGCCGACAACAATACGAGCCAAGATAAGTTTTATATTCTCGTGTTGCCTGTTCTTGATGGAGCCTTTAGGACAACTCTGCAAGGGACATCCTCGAATGAGCTTCAGTTCTGCTACGAAAGTGGTCGGTTTTATTTCATGAAAAATAAAAAGAATGATTTCTTTTTGTTCATGATGCAATTACATTTCTAATTGTTTGCATGGGATTTTTAAAGGTGATCATCAAGTTCAAACTTGTCAAGCACTAGAAGGAGTTTTTGTCAACTCAGGGGACAGCCCTTTTGAACTGATCAGGGATTCAATCAAGTACCAAGATGTTTCAGTGTTTTATTTTTTTTTTACCATTTTAGACTTTATATGTGAAAATCTTCTTGTAATGCAATATTTTTACATACTTTTTTTCAGGATACTTGCTAAACATAAGGGTACATTTAACCACCTTGAGAGCAAAAAGGTAAGATATAGATTCCAAATCCAACTTATCTTGTTTTCAGCTAGTATGAAGTATAATATCATAACCTGAAGAGGCGAGTTCTTTTTTGCGTTTTCCTTTGAAGCATGAACGGTTTAACTTAGATTATTGTAAAAATACAGTCACCGGCTCATTTGGATTGGTTCGGTTGGTGCACTTGGGATGCTTTCTATACTGAAGTCACTCCAAATGGAATCAAAGAAGGTCTTCAAAGGTATGATGTGTATATCATTAATTCGTACTGAAAAAAATATTAATTCTGTAACTGGTTTACATGAGAAAAAAAAAAAAATGTGTTTTGACAGTTTCAAGGAAGGAGGGATTTGTCCCAAGTTCCTGATCATAGACGATGGGTGGCAAGAAACAGTAAATGAATATCGAAAAGAAGGCGAGCCTTTTATGGAAGAAACACAGTAAGTTCTACGAGGTTGCAACTGATTTAATTATTCGAGCTTCGAGTATATATAGCTGTGTTTTCTTTTGTAGGTTTGCCACCAGACTAACAGATATCAAAGAAAACAGCAAGTTCAAGGGATCAAATTCGGATGGCACGAGCACAAACCTAAAAGAGCTAATCCACTACATCAAGCAAAACTATGGACTAAAGTAAGATAACCTGAATAAAGAACATAATTTTCAATACCGATATAGCCACCAATGAACTTATCTTTCCGAATGCAGGTATGTGTACATGTGGCATGCTTTAGCCGGATACTGGGGAGGTGTACATTCCTCATCCGAGGCACTCAAAAAGTACAATCCGAAGCTCGAATATCCGCTTCTATCACCGGGGAATATCGGGAATATACGAGATGTGGCCTTAGACAGCTTGGAAAAATATGGAGTTGGAGTTATAGATACTCATAAGACTTATGACTTTTACAATGATATGCATAGCTATCTTGCTAGTAGTGGGGTCGATGGAGTAAAAGTCGATGTTCAAAATCTGTTGGAAACCTTAGGATCCGGTTATGGTGGACGGGTTTCGATTACTGAACAGTATCACAAGGCACTTGACGAGTCTATCGAGAAAAATTTTCGTGAAAATAACTTGATTTGCTGCATGTGCCACAATTCGGACTCGATCTTTAGGTCAATCTATATACCTCATTGCATATTAAGTGCCCCTTTGGCTTTAAGATGGAAAATGTACATTAATTTTTCACTAAAAGTTTTTTTTTTTTTTTTTTTTTTCTTTGGGTCCTTTCTTAGTTCTAAGAAGAGTGCAACTGCAAGAGCATCTGAGGATTTTATGCCGAACGAACCGACTTTTCAGACATTGCATATTGCATCTGTGTCTTTCAACAGTCTTCTCTTAGGCGAAGTTGTTGTGCCAGACTGGGATATGTTCCATGTAAGCATTTTTCATTTTCCTGAAATTATTATATGATTTTCTGGAAAACTAATTAAAGTACTAACAGCGTATTCTAATTAATGAAGAGCAACCATAACACAGCTGAGTTCCACGGCGCAGCAAGAGCATTGGGCGGTTGTCCAGTTTATGTTAGGTAACATAAAAGAAAAAATAACAAAAGAAAAGGAAAACATAATTAACTTGTTTTCTACAGTCCTCAATGTGTTGATATGATGATACAGTGACAAGCCAGGAAAACATGACTTCAACATTTTAAAGAAACTTGTTCTTCCTGATGGATCCATCTTGCGGGCTAAATATGCGGGCCGGCCCACTCGAGACTGCCTCTTTGTCGATCCTGTCATGGATGGCAAAAGGTAACATTTTTTTTTTCTTTCTCTACTCGATAATGAAACGAAAATTGTGTTTTCCAAATATAACAAATGAATGTTGAAATTTTGTTGACAGCTTACTCAAAATATGGAACTTGAATAAAGAAACCGGAGTAATTGGAGTTTTCAACTGCCAAGGGGCCGGGAGTTGGCCTATGAAAAAAGCTGTCGAGAATCTTACGCCTTCAGCTAAACGGCTCTCGGCTCGTGTTAGCCCACTCGACGTTGAATTTCTCGACGAAATTGCAGGGGATAGCTCTACCGAAGATTCTGCTATATATGCATTTAACTCAGGTTTATATTCAGTAAAATAACACCATCAGAGATAAATGAGTAGAAATGATAGAACTTTTTATATGTATTTTCTGAACTATTTCTGTTTGCAGGTTCACTTTATAGATTGCCAAATAACAGAACTGTTGAAGTGTCTCTAGATGTATTACAATGCGAGATATTTACAGTCTCCCCAATAAAAGTGAGTGGATTGTATGTAAGTTTGGTATCATTTCACAATTTACTATCTGATACAGTACTGAAATGGAGACCGAAAAATCGAACATTTGTGAACGGGTGTTCAAAGAAAGCATCGATTTTGCACCAATTGGCTTAGTCAACATGTACAACTCAGGTGGAGCAGTGGAACAATGTGCATTTAAGGACACAATAAAAATCAAAGCACGAGGGGCCGGATTATTTGGTGCATATTCGAGTATGAGACCACATGCCTGCAAGGTGAACAAGAAAGACAAGGACTTTACCTATAGTTCGGAAAATGGACTATTGAGTATTAATCTTCAAAGTGAGAGCAGCTTCACAGAGATTGAAATCATATATTAAGGTGGTATCATGTAATGATTCTATAGGAAGTTTTGAAAAGGTCGATCGAAAGCACGTTGAGTTGCATGTTAAGAAAATCTATTGCAAAGCTTAGCACATTGTATCTGAATATTTAGAGAAGAAGGATCTTCTGTTTATCTTTGTCTAAGGTTGATAACCATAAAGAGAAAGTGGCCTAATGTTCAGATTCATGAGGCTGCAGATTATCCCTTTCATTTTCATACATTTTTTTCTTGGCTTGAGGTACAAACATACACTAAAATGTGTGTGCTCATGGGCACATCCTGTATAAAAAATTCCTAATTAATGTACAGTTTACATTTCCATGAAATGTTTTTATCGAAGTAGCAAAAGTATATGCCAAATGAGATGATGATGTATATGATAAGCAACACAAATATATGATAAAAATTTTATATTTTACACACAGACACACAAATATGTATATATTACGTATTTATAAAGATATATTAAATATAAATTTACCTTAATGAGCAAATTCATCCATGGAGTTACATCTATGCAAGAATTAAATTTTGTTTTAGAAGTTCAAAATTGTTAAAAGTGAATTTTAAAAATATATATTTAATTATATTGATTTATAATCTAATATGTAATTAAGTTAGGAAATAATATTTCAAATACATATTTTTAAAAATTCACTTTCCAACTTTTTAATCTTCTAAAATAATTTATTTTACAAAAAGATATTTAATAGTTTTGCTATAAGTTAAAATATAATTTATAAGAAAAATATAATAATATATTGGGTTCATATAATAATATTAAAAAAAAAATATTAGTTGAGGCTTTAAATTGAATTTTTAAAAAAAAATAATAATAATAATAATAAAAGTGAAAGAGTAACTTAAAATTCAAATCTTCAATTTAAAAAAGAAAAAATAAATTTTGACCTTATCTGGATTCTTATCACAATTCTAAAAAATTGGAGAATTTCCCCAATTGAAAATGCTTATTTTATTAAAAAAATATGTAACAAAAATAAAAGTAACCTAATTGTTTTTCTTTTTGCGGTGTTGATATATTATAAATAGCCAGCTTTGTTGCTGCTTCTCCTCCTCCCTCGACTTATCATCAACTCAAATCAAAGCCCTACCAGCCGAAAAACCCTGTTGCCTTCTCATTTTTCTTCTACTAAGCTGCGAAAAAGATCGTCTTTAAGCCCGCTTCAATGGAAACCAACGGCTGTTTAAATTCAGGCGCATCATCAGTTTCTACTTCATGCACGGACCTTTACACACCCGTAAAATTCCGGCTATCTGGGCAAGGCCTAGTTTTTATCAAAAAGCAAAAACCCCTTCACAGGTTTCCTGCTGTAGCTTCTCAACAAGGAAAAACCATCCCGGCTGCTCACGAGGAGAAAGAAGAGCCGGCGGTCCTTCTTGAGGAGAAGGACAAGCCGGAAGTTGTTCTTAAGAAGAAAGAAGAAAAGGAAGGGCAAGAGTCGCAGGGGAATTCGAACCGTGTCGCGACTGAGAATGGAGATGGCCGTGTGAAGCCGCCTCCTGAGGGAGCTAAGGTTTACATTGGGAATTTGCCGTACGATGTCAATGGCGAGGAATTGGGTCGGCTTTTTGAGCGGGCTGGTGCGGTTAGATTTGCTGAGGTATGGTGGTATATATTGTCTTTGAAATTAAAGAAAAAAATCTTTTTTTTTTCTCTAGTTTAGTAATGGTTTTATTTTGTACATAGTAGGGATAGAAATTCATGTCATCCTGTCTTGATGGTCCTGTGTATTCATTGGAGTAAATCATAAGCAATTAAGCATGATTAGGATTGTAATTTAATTGAGTAGTATGCTCTGAGGCTTGTTTTGTGTTGGGAAGCATGTCTTATAAGTCATTTTTGTAATAGTTGTTTGTTGGACTGTGCTCTCATGCAGTACCTCAAGTCGCTAAATATGTCAATTGGTTTTTATTTGGTCTCCAGAAAAATAATGGAATATTATTATGATTTTTTATTTTTGGGAGTTCGTGTGCCTTTGCAGGTTAAATACAATAAGGAGACTGATGAGAGTCGAGGGTTTGGGTTTGTAACAATGGGCACAGAGGAAGAGGCTGATAGGGCTGTGGAGATGTTCCGTGGTTATGTAAGTTTTCAAAGTTCCTGCAGCTGTGTGTTTTTACTTTTAATTATCTAGCCATTTTGTATAATTCGTGACTGGTAAATGTGAATGACTTGGAATGTGAGAGATAGATCACACGAAAGATTTCAGCTTCGTTAAATGGTGTCATCCTATTTATTTTTTATCCCTGCAGCATCAGTATCTTAGCACTTAAAGTTGATGATGCAAGATTATACAGTTTGCATTATTATTGGTTGTTTTATACTTTCATGATCTGTCTCCAGTGTTCTGTAATGTTTCTGCATGAAGTTTCTTGATGATATTTTAATGATGGTAGTCATGTTCTTTTTTGTTTAAATACGAATAAGAGAGATGTGAAAGATCGATATGCCAGCCTGAGTGTATTTTTTTTTATCATGCCAAGAGTTTTTGCTATATAATCCAGATTATTGTACACATTCATGTGTGTGCATGCAGTGTTTATTGTGTTGTGTGTAATATTTTATAACAGAGGTACAGGAGTCCGTTAAAAATTATAAACCCACTGAATAAACTTAATAGATATTATCCTCTATCACTGTTTCTTTCAAATCCCCATGCGTGTTATTGGCTGTATGTTACTAGACTTCATATTTGCATAGCTAGAGGAAATTTTTGAAGAAATTGAGTTCATCCCAACTAATGGTGTTGAATATAGTGATGAGCTTTTGCAGCATCTTTTCCATTGGAAGTGCCAATTCTTGCACATGAGCCTGCCTTTGCCCCTTTTAGCTATTCATATTATTTTCCATCTCTTGAACAGGATGTGAATGGCCGACACTTAGCAGTTAACAAAGCTGCTCCAAGAGGATCGCAAATCGAACGGCCTGCTCGAGTGCTTGAAACGTCCTACAGATTGTTTGTTGGCAACCTCCCATGGAGTGTGGATGACACGCGCCTCGAGCAGATTTTTAGCAAGCATGGCAAAGTTTTGAGTACTCAAGTGGTGACCAATCCTGAGACTGGTGATTCAAGAGGATTTGGCTTTGTGGTCATGTCGAGTGAGGTTGAGATGAAGCAGGCCATCAAAAAAGTTGATGGGATGGTAATGGCCGTTTCTACTTTCTCAATTGGATTTTCCTTTATTTTCTTCCTAAAAAAAAATTAAAGGACTAAAAAGAATTGAAGGTAAACTTCTATTCTATATCTGTTCTTTCCTAATGGTGAAAATTGATCTGGGGTATTGCTGTGTTTTGTTATTAAATAGAGTCCTGGGAAGTTGTATGCTGATGGTTACCATTAATCTTGCCAGATTTCAAGTTTTAGTGGTTCTACGGGTGAATAATATGCTAATCGTTTATCAATGGTGTTTGGTGCAGAGTTTTAATGGGAGGGAAATGAGAGTAAATGCTGCTGAAGGCAAACGAAGACAAAATGGCAGTTCTTGATGACTTGAGAGCAAACCGAGCAGTGGTGTTTAATCAGAAGTCTGATGATGTTCTTAATTTCTATTGTCATCGGAGATAATTAGATTGGGGGCTCATTTATAGTGAACCATTATCCCTTTTGATTTGTTCTGTTTCATTAGGTAGGCGTGAAGAGTCTCAAAACTCCTTCACTCTCTTCTTTGATGATACGTCCAATGAAAGAAATTTATTCTCTGATGTTATTGAGCAAGAGCAGTAATTCTATTAGCTTGGCAAGTGAATATATGTATATATACAATCTAAATAAAAATACGAAGGCAAAAAAAGGTGATGCAGCGCATCCCACATCGGGTTTGAAAGGAAACGAAACAGGCCTTATATGAGGATGTGGATACCTTCACTAGTAAGACGCGTTTTAGTGGGTGTATATTGAAGTCCAGCCAAGAATAAAGCTGTGCGGGTGGCGGAAGTAGCCCAAAGCGGACAATATCTTACTAGGGTCTGCATCAGTTGGTATCAGAGTCAGCCCATGTGTCAGCGGTGACCGCTGGGCCCACAAGGGGGTGGATGATGCAGCGCATCCCACATCGGGGTGTGTATTGAAGCCCAACCAAGAACAAAGCCGTGCGGGTGGCGGAAGTAGCCCAAAGCGGACAATATCTTACTAGGATCTGCATCAGTTGGTATCAGAGCCAGTCCATGTGCCAGCGGTGATCGCTGGTCCCACAAGGGGGGTGGATGATGCAGTGCGGGTGGCGGAAGTAGCCCAAAGCGGACAATATCTTACTAGGGTCTACATCAGTTGGTATAAGCAGGCCTTATATGAGGATGTGGATACCTTAACTAGTAAGATGTGTTTTGGTGGGTGTGTACTGAAACCCAGCAAAAAACAAAGCCGTGCGGGTGGCAGAAGTAGCCCAAAGCGGACAATATCTTACTAGAAGTAGCCTAAAGCGGACAATATCTTACTAGGGTCTGCATCAGTTGGTATCAGAGCCAGTCCATATGCCAGCGGTGACCGCTGGTCCCACAAGGGGGGTGGATGATGCAGCACATCCCATATCGGGTTTGAAAGGAAACGAAGCAGGCCTTATATGAGGATGTGGATACCTTAACTAGTAAGATGTGTTTTGGTGGGTGTGTACTGAAACCCAGCCAAAAACAAAGCCGTGCGGGTGGCAGAAGTAGCCCAAAGCGGACAATATCTTACTAGAAGTAGCCTAAAGCGGACAATATCTTACTAGGTTCTGCATCAAAAGGCCACCAAACAAACAAGTAAAAACTAAAAAGTATGAATATCAAAATGAACTCCAAATGAAAAGAACCTATTTTTTGTACATAAAACTTGTGCCATCGAATTTATAACATGGTTATAGGTTGAATCTCTAAAGGGTGATTGTTTATTAGTTGTACAGTAACTTTTTTTACTCAAACTCAAATTTAACTCAACTTTAACTCAACCTCACTATCTCCAATATTATTATATAATTAAATAACATCAACAAATCATTATTACATATCACATCAACTTTAATTCACTATTCATCTACTCACATAATTTTAACTAATTTTAACTAACTATCACTTCCAATCATTTTCTCTTACTTTTACATCAAATCAATTTTAACAATTTTATTTTAAATATTATTTTAATATATCCACTAACAACTAACCATACCACTTTTTCTTAAACTTAACCATAATTAAAAAATTCTAGATTTTTTACTATTCAAACCATAAACAATCACCCCCTAAGATTTTTGGTTTTCTCTGCGGATTCAGAAATATGAAATATGTACACAGGCATAAAATCGTCGAAACACAAACCACCTTCACCTACGGCCCAACACAATCACTACATTCACACAACCAAAAAGCAAACCAACACAATCACTACGTTTACACAACCAAAAAGCAAACCGGAGATTTAACTACACAAGGTAGTGCCTTTAGAAGCCCCGAATTTGATCTTCTCTGCTTGTGAGTGGGACATAACGAACTGAAGTCTCACTACGGATACTTGTGGTGCTATCCATGTTCTTGTCTATAACTTGAAGGTCTTGGAAAATATTACCGACTGGAATTACCAATCTTCCCCCGGGCTTCAGTTGTTGAATAAGCGCTAGAGGAATTTCTGGGGCAGCAGCCCCAACGTGAATAGCATCATAAGGTGCAAACTCGGGCCACCCTTGCCTACCATCTGTAAAATCACATAAGACGATGAATGTGGCTGGGCACAGTATAAAAAATCATCCAAGTGCAATAAATGTGAATAGCATGAAAATCACTTTAACGACAGCAGCCAATAGTCCAATATCTCTTTGCAGTCACATTCTGCGATACAATCTGTTTGTCCCATTGGCTAGAAACAGACACTTAATTAGCCCCGAAGAGTACAGAAAATAAGATTTATCTTTTACTATGGAGTATGGAACACATAGGAGAAGAAATTTAGAAGAGTTTATGTGCTTTGCAGGCCACCACCAAATAGCCTTTCTCAAAGGTTTTATCTCGCATGATGATGATCAGTTGTTTAACAGATTCTTTCTTGCACAACAGAGATCAAAATTCTAGATAACCTCCAGGTCTCTTTTTTACTTCTGCTATATCTAAAAACAAAAAACTACAAATTGCTAAAGAAGGAGGTACCGTTAATGTTCATGTGGCCCAATATCTTCAGACTATTTTCAACATCTTTTCCCTAAACAAGTCCCCATTTGCAGCGAGTTCTATTAATAGAGCGTAGAAAGAACAAAGAAAAAGAAAAATCTTTCTCCACTTAATGCCACTATTTATCTCTACAACAGGGTCACAACAAAAAGTTTGATGGACGATATTTTAATGCATTAAATTTAGAAAAACACGAAATTTCAAGACCACCTCCAACATGTACCGACAAGGATCCTTCTTTAAGCAGTGGAGCTGCTGCACTCTTTTGGATATTCTTAATGGATGACTCAACCAACTCAGGAATATGTTCTACACCAACAGCACGACCTTGTTGTCCAACCATAACAGCAAAGCACGCAGTCAAATACCCCGTCCCTGCAATAAGAGTTGTATGACAACTTGCAAAATATAGAAACTGCCAGAGTGGAAATTATTTTCAACTGCACCAAATTAGAAACATATGCCACAGAAGATACGAACTTCTCACAAAACCTTCAGTTTGCATGACTCACAAAGTGGTACCAAATAAAACAATGGCTGCTAAAAAGTAAACTAAATTATCTCACAAGAATGTGCTTCCACTATGTTCTGAATCATATTTTATGAAAATAAAAATACATAGAACACAAGTTCTACAAGCAAATTGCTAAAAAGTTCATAATCAAACAGCCGAAAACAGTGTATGATTACCTGAACCAACATCCAACACATGCATGCCAGGCTTTAAATGATTCTCCAACAACTGGAGGCACATGGCATGCATATGAGGGGCAGAAATAGTAGCATTATAACCTATCTGCATAGGGCTATCAATGTATGGCGGTGAACCATCAGGGACGAACAAGGCCCTGTCAACAGTTTCCATTACTTCTGCTACTTTCTTTGAGCTTATCACCCCATAGCTCTGCAAATGTTTCACCATGTCTTTGTTTCTATTGATTCCGCTACCTGTCCAGAATCGCTGCAAAACACAAAACACAACTGAGATTAAGATTAACCACAAAAATGTCATCCGACGAAGAGGAATGCAGAAAATTACAAATATTCAACATTTTTTAAGCAACACACGCTACTTAGTCAGAAGAACGAATTATAATCTACAAAAACCAGATGAAAGTCAAGCGACCTTCTCAGTTCTCACCCAAATTACGCTGTGTTTACCATATCATCAAATCAGTCAAAATCACAAAAAAAAAAAAAAAAAAAATTGTTATCATGTACTTAGTGCTTCCTATTTTTGAATTTGATCCGCAAAGTTTCAGCTGAAAAACGCCCAATTCCACTGGGCATCACTCATCACCCCACAAATGCTATTTTTGCAGTGAGCTCATAACGAGAAACATAATCTTCGTTCAACACATACAATACAATATACCATCATAACTAACAAAAGAGCTATAGCCATAGCGTGATGGCTATGCACATCAGAAACCTGAATTAACCTATTCACTACCTGCACCCTTAGGTGCAGAATTCAGCTTTGCATAATCACAATACGTAAACATTGTGGAAGCAGCACTTCCGCACCCCAATTTCAAAACGAGCACTCTCAACAAAAACAAATATCGATGATGAATATACGCGCGTACCTCCATGCGGAAGAAGAGTGAGTTCCCCGTAAAGAGATGAGGATAAGGAAGGCGGCGAAAGCAGCGGGAGGAGAAGGCGACTGCGGGAGCCAGCTGCGGCGGGGAGATGTGTGAAACGGGTGACCTAAGAGGCGCACGATAGCGGCAACAGCACGCGACAAGTGAATAATGAGATGCGTAAGCCATTTTTGTTTATATACAAATGGATGCTTCTCGCATTTTCTCCATCTCTCTCGCTGTCTGATCCTCATTCATTCCTCAGTCAAGGTCAGGGATCCCCGAGAAATGGGCTTTTTAGTTTTAAAGTCCAACTAACCTTAAAATGGCTCCAGGCCGTGTAATAAGGCCTACTTAGTGGGCTATATTTGAGGCCTATAAACCTTCTCCCCTGCTCACTAACTGCGGTGGGTTTAGCCCAACATTAGAATCCCCCTCTATATAATTGGTGAAATTTTAAAATAACCAGAAGATATTATAGATATTCCATTCGTATAAACAGAGAGAGATTTTATTTGCATGAATATCTAAAAAATTGCATTTATTATGGACAATAATGTTCACCTACACACGGTGGACATATGATAATATATCCACCGCTTATGTGGCATGCACACATTGGTGATGTATTTTCGTTAACATAGTAACATCACCAATTTGTGCATGCCACATAAGCGGTGGGCATATTAACATGTGCCCACCATGGGTAGGAAAGTATTACTGTTATTATTGATGAATAAAAAACATCAGTTAGCAAAGTAACAACTTCTCTACAATCACGCCATTAGATTATTGAACTGAAAAAAAAATTATATTTTCTACTATTTAGGAAGACGTTCATATAAAATAGAAATGAGTCTGAAATCTACAAAATATACACGATCACAAAAAATATTCATCTTGTTGGTATCAACGCCCATTGAAAAAAATTATATAATATATACGGAAAATATATAAATCCAAAAAATATACGAAATAAACATATTTTATCTTTTCGTAATTCTTTTTTGTTTATTTTTTGTGTTATTTACATCTCGTGTTTTTTTCTGTATATTTATGGTATATTTTCTGGTTTAATACATGCTAAATACACGATCAGACTTATATATTGAAGATATACTCATTATATGCTGACGACATAATACAAAAAATATACGATAAATCAATCTTGTCATTATATACATAATATATACAGAAGATATACATAAAATATATTAGACTGTCGGTTGTGCTTACGAGAATATAAACATAAAATATTTTCCTCTTCTTCACGGCCTCGAGCGTTTTGACCTCGCTCAGCTTCTTTGTCTTCTTCTTCTTTCCCCACGGCCGATTTTTCGATCGTCGTTTTTTTTTCGGCGGCTGTGTCAGTTTTCTTCGTAAGAATCCAGGTTTTTGCGGAGGCCGAGTGTAACACCCCGCCTAAAACTTACTAAAATCAGAGTAAATTTTTCGCGCTCTAAATGGAAAGCACTGATTTAATTTTCGAAAACTCATATTATTTTTTCGAAAATACTTTAACTTTAAAACGCGGGATGCTACTCAACTTTAATCTTATATCTTTATCTCTTTAATCTATCATGCATGCGACCAAGTAAATTCATTCTAGAATTAAGGCCATGAATAATACTGGATAAAACATGCATATTCTGAAAATCTGACATAATCTGACATCTGAAATAATAGTCTAAAATCTGACATCTAAAACACAAGTCTAACATGCGGAAACAAGTACAAGTTCAGAAAAGCACACAAGCATAAAACAAACATAGATAATTCAAACATGTTCAAATACTATATGACATGTTTTCACAAAAGTGTCCTGAAGCTGGACCAACACCACATATCTGCTCACGCGTCACGCGGGACTCCATCACCTGAAAAATAGGGTAGTGGGGAGGCGTGAGCACAAAGAAATCAACGGTGCTCCGCCGGAACCGGCACTGAATACTCAGCACAATTAATAACAAACTATGAAATCAACATATATATGAGAAAACTGGTCTGACTATGGGACTAACGGTAAACCGGTACTCATGTGCACACTCTGGGGGTCCCCTCCCTCAGAAATCCAGGCTGGGCCTCGCCCACTCATCTGGACGCTAGACTTAGGCTGGGCCTCGCCCACTCATCTAAGTCATAACTGACATCTGATATCTTGACCAAGACGGGATCACTCATCCATCTCGGTCCTTCAATTTAATCACATATAGATCTCAGACATTGTAAATTATTAAAAGCGATGAAATACACAGTACATGGTCCCCACCTGGAAACTGGCGAAAGCGAATGCTGAATATATCTGTAATGGGTAGCTGACAGAGGCTCGACTCTCCTCAAGCTACAAAATATATTGAGCGAAGTATTCTAAGTACTGAGCTCAGAATAAAACTCAAATCTTTAATATCTATATATCTAGGTTCGCTCACTCGGCTTTAAAAAAATCATTTAGGGATTTACGAGCTGATTTTGAAAACATTATCGTCGTTGAGGCATTCTAGAGTTCTCTGAAATATTTCTAAGTCTGGGACTAGGATCTTACTTAATCTAATCTGACTGAAATCTAAACTATATCTGAATCTTAACTCTATCTGAAATTCTTAACTTTATCTGAAATCTTAATCTGACTGCATCTGCAATTTATCTGACATTCTATCTGAAATATATTTCGAACAGTCCGGACTGGCCGGACCAGTTCGACTGACCTGGACCGACGGCTCACTCGGAGTCGGTCGGTCATTCGCTTGACTATGTGCAGCTCGGTTTGACCGTGGTCCGGGTTCAGCGTGGCAACTCGGGCCGGCACGAACTCGACTGACACGGCTTAGCCGATGCACGGGTTTCAAACGGTGCCACGGTCACTGACGCAGGGGCGTGCTTGGACCACGGCTAACGGAACGACGCGTAGACGGCAAGTCGGATGGACTCGGTGCACGGGCACGCACTCGGGGGTTTGACTCAGACTCGGTGCACGGGCACGCACTCGGCGGCTCAGCTCCAACGGTCGGACGAGAGGCGATCACGGGCACGAGACGATGATACGCATTATGAATTACGATACGAAGGTCAAAGATTATCTAGACGGTACTAGGGTTCAGACAATAATAATCGGATCCAGAAAAATACCCGGTTATCGAAACCGGATAAAACTAGGGTTTTGATTCCAGAAAATCCTAACTCAATTAAGGCTGATATTTAATATACACATTCTATGTGATTTATAATAAATCTATAATTCACAACTGCAGCTAAAGTCTCAATCAATCTAATATTTTATTTTTTTACGGCATTAATATCTAAAGTCTCGATTTTTTATAATTAAGTCAAACAACATCCAAAATTTATGAAAATCGAAACATAACATCCTCAATATATGTATGGTCCACGGTCAACAAATCAAGTCTAAATTCAACTCCTAGACTAGTCAACCAAAAATCGCTACGACCGATCAAATACACATAAAATCGGTTCGCCTATCAACCAAACCCCAAAAATTCTCAAATTTCAACCTAAGCCTCAAAACGATGCCACAAATTTTATGGTATTTATTCCGGTATTTTATCACATATATTTCAAAAGTCGAACATATTCGCTTTAAGCCCGAAAATCCTGATTTATTCAAAATCGCCCAAATCACCCAATTCATTAATTTTACATCATCTCAAATATTTTATCTAAGCCATTAAAATTGAGTTCGAGTTATTATACCTCACGTGTTCGGAAAAGAGCGGATCGGGCTAGAAAATGGAAGAAAAGGGAATAGCCGGTTCGAATCTAATGGTGAGGGCTATAGATCCGGGATCAAGGAGCTGAAACCGGACTGAAAATGCTTCTGGTCGGAGCTAGGGTCGAGGAATGGAGCTGCTGAGTCGGGCCCCGGTACAGCTGGTCGGATCTGGTTGTTTTTCCGGTGTAAACTCGCCGGAAAATGAAGTTGGCCGCGACGGCAGCAGCAGCTCGCGTGTGTTGGTGTTGTGTACGGACTGTACGGACGTCCTGAGCAATGAGCTGGTGGCGAGCTTGGAGAAGACGACGTGATGGCTGCGGGTCTAGGTCGCCGGAAAACGGAGCTCGAGCTTGGACGCGGGCTCGTCGGAGTTGCAGGTGGACGAGCGGAGGAGCTGCGGATCTTGAGCTGGGATGGACGGGCTTGACGTGGAGGTGCTGGAACTGCTCGCCGGTGGAAGGTCGCGCAGCTGGTCGTCGCAAGAACTTGGGTCGAGGTTTTTCCGGCCGCTTTAGAGCTGTGCGTGCGGTGGTGCGGCTCGGCTGCGGGCAGAGGACATGCCGGCGCGAGTTTGAGTTCGGTTTCGCCGGAAAACACTAGGGGTCGCCGGATTTCGGGAAGAAATGGTGAAGATGGTGAAGCTTAAGCCATGGATCTAGTGAATAGAGATGAACTTTGAGCTTGATGGTGCGGCTATGGAGGAAATCTAGACAAGGAAGAAAATGAATAGTATAGGGTTTTGAGTCTTGATGTTGGGAGACAAGGGGACAAGAGGATCTATTTATAGCATGGTGTAGGAGACTAGGGTTTTCTCCCTTAATGGGCTCAAAATCGGGCCTTTAAAATCCTACGAGTTGGGCTCGAATATAAATCGGATATGAACTTAGGAAATTAAATGCTCGGGCTTGCTAAATAATATTAATCGAACTAGGACTAATTAAATAAGTCGGTCGAAATAATTACTAATAATGGGCTCGGATTTAAAATCGACTGTTTGCTTGATTTTAAAAATGGACTGGAATAAAATTGGACTTGGGCTCGATATAATTAAATTATCCGGCTTCGGATCACTTAGATAAAATTCCAACTTTAATAATTAAAGTCGAAATAATTATTCATGGCTTAGACTTTGATACTAATTATTAATTTAATGCAAATAAATTTAAATAATGCATCAAATTTAGAAACTTCATATTTATGGAAATATAGTCGAGCTCCATAAATAGTAATTAAAAATATGGGCGTTACACCGAGATCTTACGAGCCTCTTCAATTGAACGGACAAGATATTCTGGAAGTTTGTTGGAAGCGATTTCACACAGTTATCCTCCACGAATTTTGCGGTCGCTGGCTGGCTCGAGCCGGTTTGGTCCTTCATCGTGGTGATTGCTGTTTGTCCCATTTTTGTTACATTTTTTGTTGTCTTTTTCCCATTCTTTTACCCCCGTATTGAGTCGTTTAG